CCCACGTTTTATTGAATAGACAATACTGAAAATTCAAAAATTTTTGTGAGCCACGTGAATCTTTTGAATGTCCCAAAAGATGGACCGTTAAGTTTTTGGGAGCAACGTGTTTTTTCAACAAATATTTTTCCCAAAATTAAAACTTTTGAAAATCACTACTTGTTATATAATTGTTTGGTTTTCAGAAGAATTTCAAAATACCCTATATGACACTGAGCTTCTAATTCAACTTTGCTATTTGCTCAAGACCCAAGCTATTGAGTGAGTTATAAGTTTTCAACAAAAAAAATCAGTTTTAAAAATTTCCAATTTTCAGACCTACTGAAACAGATCCAGTTTTCCAAAAAATCGCAAACCTCAAAAAGCAAGAATTGGTCGATGAAGTTTTGGATTCAATTCCCGATTCGGATGTTAAAAGTTATATGAATAAAAGAATAAAAGAATTCAGACCGGTGAGATTTTTCAACTTCAAGAAATTTTAGAACTAGATTTTTTACAGTACACCTGCAAGCCACGCCCACAAATCTTCTTCAATTGGGATGACAATTTTTCGCATTTATACGATAATTAGAGTTAAAAAAAAATAAATCTTCACACACTCAAAGTTGAACGTCTCAAATCTAAACAGATACACTAAAACCTCCTCCTGTGGACCTGCTTCCATTGGGTTCTCTGGGATATTTTCTAGCTCTTCTTCTTAACCCTGTTCAAGTTCCGTTTTCCTTCTTTACAGAGCAGTTAATGTGCTCCTAGACTCCACCACTTTTGTCTCTGACAACTCAAGATTATCGTTCAAATTGTTTTCAGAATCGTAGTCTTTAATAAAAATGTCCCCGGGAGTCAGTTCTGGAAAAGGAATCCAAACTTCAGGAATCCAAACTTATCGAAATTGTTTTTATATCCGCATCTTCGATGTCCCTCTGGAAGGGAACGCTTTCAACTGATCGAAATCTTTTCTACATCCACCTCTTCGCTGATCTTTTTGATTTGGGAGTGGGACCTCCACGGGGTTTGCATATAACACCAATACGGTATTTGGTATCGTTTATTTGATGCTTCCTTCAGAAATCAAGAGTTTAGAGATGTAACGTGGAGCTGTTTTTTCAGCAAAACTAATTTTTGGAAGACGTTCGGCAATTCGGAATCTGGGAAGTTCTCAATGAACTGATAGTGAACTTTTTTGCATAAAATCACTCACCTAAAATTTACCTCTAACTTTTGCGAGAAGTGTTGAGGAGAATTAGTTAGAAATTTTAGAAATATTTTCTAGAGGTGAAAAAAGAATGGAAACATGCGTTTCTACAATTGAAAAGCTTTTGTTACAAAACTGATAAGCAACTCAAAACACATCATTTGTGAAATTTTGAGCATCAAAAATACATTTTCAGCTGAGTTATGGCAAAAATGCCGACACATACCTTTTGTGCTCTGAGCATCATAACTCGAGAGAACGACTTCCAAAACACTTCAAAACTTTTTTGATGCATATTTATACACTGAAAATTATTTTACATTTAAAATCAAAGCCAGAAAAAATTCTTAAAATTTTTTTTTGGATTCTCTGACCACTGCCACATCTGAAACTGCTCTGAAAATTCTGAAAATGAGAAATTAAAAAAAAAATCGATTTTTATGTTTTTGCATTTTACAGCTATTCTCATGCAAAATTTCAAGTCAATTGAGCAATTTTGAACAAAGTTGTGATAGTTCGAAGAAATTCTCCTCACCACTTCTCGCCACTGTATATTTTTCGGTTTTTTCGGCTTTTTGAACAGTCAAAACAGCCCCGAGGGGCGTTAACCGTCTGTTTTAGATTTAGTTTGAACCCAAAAAACGTTTCTTATGACGTGAAAACTCTTATCAGGAAAAACTTAAAGGTGGGGGGACAGGAGATTTTTCGTAGTTTTTTTGTAACTAGAGTATGCATTCTACCGTCACGGTGTACAACACTTAATGTCACTCTGCGTACAGCTGTCGTCCTCGCCTTTATGTATGCAAACGGGCGTGCGCTTTCTCTTTGCCCGCGTGGCTCAGTCGGTAGCGGCGCCGCACCCTCAATCATCGCCCTCACAAGTTCAACTCCTCGAGGGGCATCTTCGAACGGAATTTCGAGAACATTATTTTTTTCATGTCCCCCCCCCCCACCTTTAAGAATAATCCTTCACACAATTCATGTATATAAAAAACTTTGCCGTCTATTCTTTTCTTTTGGGAGAAAATGGTGACTATTCCTCTAATACTCCTCTCTCTGCTTTGTATCAGTGCTATCGTTCCAGGTAACTTTTTTTCACAAGTTTTCATAGTTTTATTCAATTTTTTTAGATTGTAAAAATGGAAAAATCGTATTCGATTCTACATCTCCCAAACCTTGGTACCCAGCAAACTTCTCTGTTCCCGGACCAGTTTTTCCAGCGAATTTCAATTGTGAATTCCAGGTGATTTTATTCAAAGTTCATAGGAAAAGTGATTTGAAATGTCGGGAATTTTCAGATAAAGGTTCCACAGGGTTGGTATGCTCGGGTCGAGCTTTCTCTGATTTCTCCAGATAACTCACAATCTTCTGCTGTCATTTTTGACCAATTGGACAGATCTGAAACGTAAATTTTTGTATTTTTCAACGAAATTCCGAAATTCTTTTATTAAAAACCGTAATCTTATGAAGCTTGCGAAGTTCGTGTGATTTTTTTCAGAGTTTTTTTCGCGGATCCAGAATACTTCTATTTTATTGCGAATGGTGGTAGAATCCAATTTTCTACTGATTCAAATGAAACCAACTTCGGATTTCAAATTTTTTGGCATGAGTGTAATCTATAAGTTTATAAAAAATTGTAAAGCTTAAAAGTTTTCAGACCAAAATTCTACATTATCTGTAGGTCGTGTCAATGCATCCGATACAGTGCCGTTGATCAGAATACCTGATGATGATGGATCAATGTTGATAAGCGCAGAGACTAAAGTGTCAGCAACAGTTCTAAGACCATCACGTGAAGCCATGGCTTTTATTCCAAGACTATGAGATTACAAAAAATATCAAAAGTTTCCAAGGAGAACATTGCAACAACAGAAATCTTTGTGGGAGTATCACATTGGATGCCACAAATGGACCAGCGGCTCTTCAGATTTACAATAAAGACGGTGTCGATGTTATTAGTGATTTAAGCGGATCCGGACAATTAGAAGTGTATATCGGAACTGCTTCCCAGAATAAGACGAATTTAGTAGCCACTTATCAGTAAGTATTGTTTTTTGTCTTCCGAAATGGAAATTGTCTTTCAGTGCCGGTGAAACAAGCTCAAGCCTGCCTCAAAAAGTGTTCGGTTACTTCAAGACATTTTTGTTGACTGATGGAAATGCTACAATAACATTCGATGACACATACACTAGAGAAGAAATGTACGGGTCCGTTGGAAGTACTGGATTTATATCATCAGATAACTATGGAACGTATACACTACAAAATTGCTATCTACATTGTTGAGTTATCCATTTAAATCGACTGTTAAGTTTCGATGGAGCGTGTCTTATATTGATTTAGTTGGGGACTCATGGCTTCAAGTTTATGGCGACCAGATTATTAACAACGAAAGATCTACATACGTTAAAGAGTGAGTGATTGTTCCAGAGTCTTACTTTGCTCTATTCGTTTGACCAATGTGAAAAATCAGACGTTTGCATAGGCTAGATAGAACTTTGGAACTAGTATTATGTAAAAGTACGATAAGTTCTGACATAAATTGTGCTCAAAAATTACGGAGCCTTGAAGAATCTATAAGTCAGAAACTACAAATCAATAAATTACAGTTATAACGCCTCCAATCCACCGCAGTTGAATTCATATGACGAGTTTATTGGAACATCAATGCCCGCTAATTTTGGAGATCGAGGTTTATGGAGCAAAGGAATGTTAATAAGATACGAAGTTGAGAAAAGTTCAAATTGCATTTTCATGTTCTTAAGTTTTGTTTTTGTCTTGATTGTAAACTTTGATTGTTGAGAATAAAAAATTGCTGAGGAATGGTTTTTTTTTCAATTATTCTCTTTTTTCTTACTTTTTGAACATATTTGGTGACCAGAAAAGCACCGAGGGGCGTTAGCCGCCTGATATAAATTTAATTGAAACCCATACAACGTTTTTTATGACATAACACTCTTATCAATAAAATTTTGAGGAGCAACTCTTCCGCACAATTTATATATAAAACATTGTTGCTGCCTTTTTTTTTTCATTTTCATAAAAATGGTGACAACAATTCTACTACTATTTTCTTTTTTGAATTTCATCAGTTCGATTGTTCCAGGTAATTTTTTCATTTTTAAAAATTACTTGTTGTGATCGAAACTTTTAGATTGCAAAAATGGAAAAATCATATTTGATCCTACATCTCTCGTTCATTTGTACCCAGAAAATTTCTCCGCTCCTGGACCAGTGTTTCCTGCGAATTTCAGTTGTGAATTTCAGGTGATTCTGTGGAACATACTCAGGGAATTTTGAGCAAGGGTCGGGCGCCCACTGATTTGGGTGAATTTGCTAGGTGGGCGAGACTCTGGCAAGGTTTGGCCAAGGTTTTGAGAAAAGAATATTAAAACTAAACGAGCGCGTGCCCTCGTTTTTTCGCGGTAAGCTTGCGGCATAAGATGGGCTTGATTTGGGCTAGACTAGGGCAAGGCTACGGCATGGTGTGAGCAAATTGCCCAGGTTTTGGGCATTTTGCCCATCAAATGGGCGCCCTTGCCCCCAACGGTAGGGGCAAGGCAGCCATTTCACGGCAAATTGCCTGAAATTCCCTGAGTAGTTTTTAAATACCTGAAATTTTCAGATAAATGTTCCAGAGGGTTGGTTTGCTCGGGTTGAGCTTTCACTAATTTCTCCTATCAACTCACAATCTTCTGCCGTAATTTTTGACCAATTGGACAGATCTGAAACGTAATTTTTAAACATTTTTGACTTGGATGTATCTCAGAAGAAAATATGTCAAGTGAAATCCGATGATTGGCCCAAACATGAAAATTCAAAGGCCCACAAAGTTTAGCCTCATGATACATAATTTTTATTATTTTTTACTTTAACTAAACCGAGTCCAATAAGCAACCTTTTCAGAGTTTTTCTCTCAGAATCAGACTATTTTTACTTCATTGCCAATGGTGGTAGAATCCAGTTTTCTACTGGTTCAAATGGAACCAAATTTGGGTTCATAGTTTTTTGGGATAAATGTAATTGATAGTTTAATGAAATCAGAAAAAATTGAAATTCTCAGACCCAACTTTTACTTATGCTGAAGGTCGTGTCAATGTATCCGATACTCAGCCATTCTTGACAATGGCTGCTCAGGGGGGATCAGTTTTAATAAAGGCAGAGACAATAGTGTCAGCAACTATTATGAGACCACAACAAGTTTACCAGTTGAAGTACACGAGAGGATTTATATTTTTCGATGGACCCGACTTTAATAATAATAATACAAGAAACCTCGGAACCGGACTCCAACTTTTGAACGGGAACACTCAATACGTCTCGTCTGGAAAATCGATGACAGTTTTGATTTTGGACGTTCCGCTTAATGAAATCCTATGGCTTGTATTCCTAGATTATGAGCTTACAAAAGGTATTAAAAGTTTCCAAGGAGCAGATTGCTACTCCGGTTTTTGTGAAAGTTTCAAATTGGATGCCACTAATGGACCAGCGGCGCTTCAAGTTTACAATAATTACGGCGTCAATGCGATTAGTGGTTTGAGCGGGTCTGGGCAGTTAGAAGTGTATATCGGAACTGCTTCCCAGAATAAGACGAATTTAGTAGCCACTTATCAGTAAGTATTGTTTTTTGTCTTCCGAAATGGAAATTGTCTTTCAGCGCCGGTGAAACAAGCTCAAGCCTGCCTCAAAAAGTGTTCGGTTACTTCAAGACATTTTTGTTGTCGGATGGAAATGCTACAATAACATTGAAATAATTTGAAACGAAAATTTTTGTTGTTGGAATTTTCATTTCTTAAAGGTGGGGGGGCAGGAGATTTGCATTCTACCGTAAAGATGTAACGACTGCGTACAGCTGTCGTCCTCACCCTGATGCTTACCTTCTCTTCGCTCGCGAGGGGGACTATTTAAACGGAAACGTTGTTTACAGAGTTTTTGTGGCGGATCCAGAATATTTTTACTTCATTGCCAATGGCGGTAGAATCGAATTTTCCACCTTTTCGAATGGAACCAAATTTGGATTCACTGTTTTATGGGATAAATGTAATCTACAGTACCAGTTAATTATTTATAGAGGGTTTATCAATGTATTTTGACCATTTTCAGAAGTCTCGTTGTTAAGTTTCCGATCGTTCGAAAATTTTGAATACTGTAGAACAGACCTAAATCGAAAACTTTGAATTCACCGAACTGTCCAACAGTGATTGAAAGCTTGACAGCCGTCCAGATTCCGGAAAATGATCAAAATGGTCGAAAATCCACTGGAAAACACTTTTTTGTATATCGTATTGACCGATACCATACTTTTTCATTTTCGGCCTAATCAATAGGCTCAAAAAAAATTGGCAAATCTCAAACATTTCAGACCCAACTTATTCTTTCGCGGAAGGTCGTGTCAATGTATCCGATACTCAGCCATTCTTGGCAGCTGCTGTAGGGGGATCAATTTTGATAAACGCAGAGACAAAAGTATCAGCAACGATTATGAAACCAGTGAATGATTATTATTTGAAGTACATGAGAGGATTTATATTTTTCGATGGACCCGACTTTAATAATAATAATACAAGAAACCTCGGAACCGGACTCCAACTTTTGAACGGGAACACTCAATACGTCTCGTCTGGAAATTCGATGACAGTTTTGATTTTGGACGTTCCGCTTAATGAAATCCTACGGCTTGTATTCCTAGATTATGAGCTTACAAAAAGTATTAAAAGTTTCCAAGGAGCAGATTGTTACTCCGGTTTTTGTGAAAGTTTCAAATTGGATGCCACCAATGGACCAGCGGCTCTTCAAGTTTACTATGATCAAACTGTGATTGGTGGTTTAAGCGGATCCGGGCAGTTAGAAGTGTAAATTGGAACTGCTTCACGGAATAAGACAAATTTAGTTGCCACTTATCAGTCGGTTTTTTTTGTTTTCGGAATCGAAAATGCCTTTCAGTGTTGGTGAAAACAATTCAAGTATGCCTCAGCTAGTTTTCGGTTATTTCAAGACGTTTTTGTTGACTGATGGAAACGCTACAATAACATTAAATGAAAATGTACGTCGTGATGAAATGTGGAAGACAGTTGGAAGCACAGGATTCATATCATCAGATAACTATGGAACATACACATTGCAAAATTGCCATGTAAAATTAATCAGTTCCCCACAAAATCCGACAGTTGAATTTCGATGGAGCATATCTCAAATTGATTTAGTTGGAGACTCATGGCTGCAAGTTTCTGGCAACATTCATGGATATTCTCCTTGGTCGAAATAGTGAGTGAATTTTCCGAAATCTTTGGACAAAGCAAAATTTCTTTAAAAAATTTAAAAAGTTATACTATTGAGTAATTCCCAATCTCCCTAGATACAAATTGAAGTTTTGTTCAGCGGTTACTTAAAACCTGGTCTAAATTACAGCTACAATGCTTCCAATCCACCAAAACTGAATTCTTATGAGGAATTTTATGGAACGGAAATGAATGTTTCTTACGATAATAGAAATTTATGGAGCAAAGGATTTTTGATGAGATACGAAATTGAGAAAAACTCGAATTGCATGTTTATGTTCTTAAGTTTCGTACTTGTCTTTATTGTGTACTTTGATTGATCAGCAGGAAAGAATGAAGTTGTACATTAATTTTAATCGAAACAAGAAAAATAAAATTATTATCTTTTTAATTCTGTCAAAAAAACAACTTTGTAGCTCTCCTAGAACACGAGATATAGTGATTTGAAGTTTTGAAGACGAGAGCCGCCGACAGCGAGAGACACTGCTTCTCTGGCACGCGACAAGAGAGACGCAGACAGCCAGAAAAATGGTTTTATCTCGGCTTCCAAAAGAGCTAGGAACTTGGTTTTTTGACGAAGGAAACACCCAAAATTCGGAAATTCGCACAAAAATATTTCATTTAAAAATAATTCAAATTAAACTAAAAAAACCAAAACTGCCACAAAAATGGTCCAAAAACTCTGACAAACAGCACTTTTCTCCACAGAGTACTGCATTAGAAATCCGGTATTTAGTGATATACTGTCAAAAATAACGTCCATTTCGGATGCATAAAACTGGACGTTTTGGTTAAGGCGTGGATAATTCGTAGAGTTGTATCTGAAAGTATGAAATCTAAATAAAATATTTGAGTTTTATGGAGGTGGGATATAAAAAAAAAATTGAAGATGTGTTAAAGCACTAGAAATGAGTTAAGGCACCAAAAATGCGTCAAGGCACAGAAACTGTGTCAACGCACCAACAACGCGTCATGGCTCCAACAATGAGTCTTGGCACAGAAAATGCGTCAAGGTACTAAAAATGCGATAAGGCACAAAATGCGCCTGGACTCCAAAGGCTGCAAAACTGGACAAGGCACCTGAAATGCGCCAAGAGACTAAAATAGGCCAAGACCCCAAAAATGCGTCATGGCACAGAAAATGCGCCGAGGGACTAGAAATGGGTCATGGCACCAAAAATTCGTCAAGGTTCACAAACGCGCAATGGCACAGAAAACGTGGCAATGCACCAAAACGACACAAGGCTCAAAAAATGCGGTAATGCTCCAAAACTGCGTCAAATAAAGAAAAATTAGTCGAGGCACAGAAAATGCGTCATCTCACCGAAAACGCGTCAAGGGACTGAAAATGCGTCCATAAACTGGACATTGGCTCAAGGCACCAAAAATCAGTCAAAGCACCTAAAACGCATCGATGCAGTAAAATTCATTAAGACACAGAAAATACGTTATGACACGGAAAATGCGTCAATGCACTGAAAACATGTCAAGACACCGAAAACGCGTCACGGCACCCATATTAGGTCAAGGAAAGGAAATCCTTCAAGGCACCGGAAATGCGTCAAAGTACGGAAACGCGCTAAAGAACTAAAAACCCCATTCATAAAGGTTTTGGTCTGAAAATCTTGTTTAAAATTACAAATTGGAAAAACTCACTTTTGTCTGAACGTTACTTGCTGGTCATTCCTCCCGACAACCTCCAAACTGTCCCATGTTTTTAAATCCACCGATTTTACCGAATATTGAAATTTCGCATTTCCCGGGGCATACATTTTAGTGACAACATCTTGAATTTTCCAACTAGTACCGTACTCGGCAGAAGTTATAATTCCTTTTCTTCCATAATCAATATTCAGAGAATATGCATCAGAATTGGTTTGAGAAATTGTGCAATTACCAGATTCCATCACAAAAGTTGTGAACCATCCTTGAATACTTGTGGAAGTGATAAGTGATTATCAGCTGTGAGACTGGAAACTTTTTTTGGTTTTACTTCTTTTCAGGTAACCGAATTTTCTGGTTTCTGTAGAAAACTAAAAAATTGTTGTTCAAATCAAAATGCACACTCTATACGTGCATTTTGAGATCAATTATCTCGGTTCCTATGAGAGATATCAACAATCTGTCAACTGATAAATTATTGGTGATATTATAATAAACAAATTATCAGTAGTAAATGTTTTGATATCTCTAATAGAAACCGAAACGAATGAGCTTAAAGATTCTTGTTCGGTTATTTTGAAAACTTACTCATAACTTGCAATCAAATTCCGCTTCTCCGGAGTCAAATTCCCGGCATAAACATCCAATTTTCCGAAACCTGTCATTTTCTGAAGGATGTATTGACTCTTCCCATTGTCCACTTGAAACACTGATCTTCCTTTCGATGCATCGATCTTCATTTCTGAACAGATAGCATCGCATTGAATAGCTTCGAATCTCTTGATTCCGTTCATATTGTAAAAATCGTTGAATAAAAGCAGAGGATTGGATCCAGAGTTGCCGAGAATCAATACAGTAAGAAAATTGCCTTTCGACACAAATTGCGTGTTTCCGTTTAACAATTGTAATCCGGTGCCGAGACATGGAGATGTGAAATTTGGACCGTCCAAATAGATGATTCCTCTTAGATACTGGGTTTTGTAGCGGTTGACCGGTAAGATAGTGGCTGAAACTCTGGTTTCAGCTTCCACGACAATCGGTTTGTTTCCATACAGGTCATAGGAAAAAGGTACAGCTTCAGACTTTGAAACGTGGTATTTATGAGCATAGGTAGGGTTATCTGAAATTTAGAAAATTTAAACAGTCTAAAAAACTAAAAAGTTCTGAGAATCCTATTAGAGAAATCCGGGGAAAATTTTGAATATATCTTTTTTTTTTTTGAATACTTTTGACAAAATTCAAAAAATATCTGAAAAATTGGAAATATAAAAAATTTTCGAATTTTCACATTCTGAACCATTTCAGAAAAATTTCGAAAACCATCAAATTATCGAGATTTGAGATTGGAGATTTGAGATTTGAGAAAGAAAGTGACTGCCGTTGAATTTTTCTTAATTTCAATTAATTAATGAAATTCGAAAGATTTTCTATTTTTAGAAATTTTTGAAGATTTACTCAATTTTGAAATTGTGAATAATTTTTTCTAGTAGCAAATCAAAAAAGTACCGTATTGCTTCCAAAGAACAGAAAATCCAAAATTCGCCGAAGTCACTCCAGTGGACAATTTCAATTTTCCTCCATTTGCGATAAAATAGAAAAACTCAGAGTTGGAACTTGAAGTTCTGGAATTTTTCTGATACATTTCTTTTCAAAAATTTTCAAACCAAACGTTTCAACTCTTCCCATTTGATCAATAACTTGCACAGTTGTAGAAGAAACAGTCAATTGGATTTCAGCAAACCATCCTTGTGGTACATTTATCTCGAAATGTGAAATTTTAACATTTTAAATTCAGAAATTCAGAAATTCAGAAATTCAGAAATTCAGAAATTCAGAAATTCAGAAATTCAGAAATTCAGAAATTCAGAAATTCAGAAATTCAGAAATTCAGAAATTCAGAAATTCAGAAATTCAGAAATTCAGAAATTCAGAAATTCAGAAATTCAAAAATTTGGAAAATCGGAATTTTGATAATCACCTGATACGTGCAATTATAATTGTTGGGGTAAAGCGGTGCATTATTAGTAAAATTCCTTGGGTACCAGGTTACTGTAGATCTGTCTAGTGGGGGATCGAAAATGATTGTTCCGGATTTGCAGTCTGAAAAAAAATTGAAAAAATCTGAAAATCTAAAATTCGAAAAAAACATACCTGGTACAACGGCACCAATCAATTGCACCCAAGAAATGAAAACTAAAAATAATAATTTCAACATTTCTCGTCTTCCAACAAGAGAAAAAGATGATAAGACAGTTTTATAGACAAATTTTTCAGCTTGATGATGGTTTCAGATTATCAAATTGATAAGAGAAACAAAAATGTACGTCACTGAGAACGATTTTTTGAGGTCAAAAAACCGATGTGATTCATTGGCGGAGTTATACATGATTACTAAAACCTTTAAATTCGGAAAAAAAAGTAGTGAGTCATTTTTCAACAAAATTTGGAGTTTGAAGTTTCAGGGAAAAAGGATAATTTGAGAATTCAGAAACTTTCCAAGATTCAAAACTCAAAACTCTCCAAAAACTTTTTTTTTTCGAAATTCTCGAAAATCTAGAACTGTTCAAAAATGGAAAAAAAAATTCTTCAATTTTCAAAAACTAATTTGAAAATTCTCCAAAAAGTTTACTTTCCTTAAAACTTGTATGAAAATGCTAAAAATAACTGAAATTTTTGAGAAAAAAAATAACAAAAAATTGTCTTCATTAGTCTCGGAAATTGTCAAATTTTTTGAAAATATCTGGAAAGTAAAAAAAAAGGAAAATTAATTTTTCCCGACTTTTTTCACATTCCATTTTCTCTAGTTTGATTCCCATACAAAGATTTTCTCTTCTTAAAGGTGGGGGGACATGAAAAAAATAATGTTCTCGAAATTTCGTTTAAATATGCCTCTCGAGGAGTTGAACGTGTGGGACGAGGATTGAGGGTGCGGCGCCGCTACCGACTGAGCTACACGGGCAAAGAGAAAGCGGTCGCCCGATTGCATACATAAAGGCGAGGACGACAACTGTACGCAGAGTGACATTAAGCGTTGTACACCGTCACGGTAGAATGCATACTCTGGCCCCAAAAATCCCCCGTAAAATCTCCTGCCCCCCCCCCCCCCACCTTTAAAGGTGGGGGGACAGGAGATTTTTCGTAGTTTTTTTGTAGTTAGAGTACCGTCACGGTGTACAACGCTTAATGTCACTCTGCGTGCAGCTGTCGTCCTCGCCTTTATGTCTGCAATCGGGCGGGCGCTTTCTCTTTGCCCGCGTGGCTCAGTCGGTAGCGGTGCAGCACCCTCAATCATCGCCCTCACAAGTTCAACTCCTCGAGGGGCATCTTTGAACGGAATTTCGAGAACATTATTTTTTTCATGTCCCCCCACCTTTAATGTTTGATCATCCATGAAAAACCAAGCGTTCACTATATTATTTGTATGTACAGTGGGAAATCAAAAAATGATCCTTTTTGGTACTATTCAAACTATACTTTTTTCAAAAAGCTTCTGTATTTTTATTTGTTCAAACGCTATTTTCAAATGGGTCAGTTTCCATATAGAAGTGATTGGATTTTCTTGGAAAAATATCATCAGCTTCTTCTTGTTCATATTTCTATTAAAATGTTTTCTCTATTTTTCTCTTGGCTCTCCTACTTGGCTCCGCAGAAATGTGTGGAAACTCGGTTCAAAGCATTGAAAAAAAGTTATTTGAGGAGGAAAACTGTTCACGGACCAAAGGGACAAATCTCAAATTAAAGATTACTCCCAATTCTAGATCCTGTGACGATGCTATAGCGTAAAAAATAACAGTTTGAATGGAATTGGAAAAAAAAACATTCCAGAATCGCAACGGACGCCCAGAAAAAACTTGTCACAACTGCTTTTAAAAGTGCCACGTTTAATGAAGGTTCCTGCGAACTAAAATTCTGTCACTGGCTTGAACTAATTTATTATTGTTTGTTTATTTATTTATTCTGGGCTACAAAAAATGAATTGGTTTTGAGAAATAAAATTATTTATACTTCTTTTCCGAATTCACGTTAACCATTCATTTTCAAGTTAAAAAACCCCTTAGAAATAGCTCAATCAATCAAATAAAATTCCTCTTTCTTCTTCTGATTCTCCAAATGAATCGCATATTTCTTTTGATCCTCCTCCGATTGGCTTTTCATGAATTTCTTGTTCTCCATGAACATTTTACACACAGCTTCAATGGCATCTTGGAAATTCGGAGATAGTCCGTAGTTTTTCTCGAAATTCACATAGGCGGTCCCTCCGACATTCATCAGACCAGCAATGCATTTTTCGGATAAACCAGCTTTTTGAAGTTCGGCACGGTAATCGGCACCTGGAAGTTTTTTGAAGGTGTGCAAAGTATTGAAAATTGGATCAAATTAGTCAAAAAGATCTCAGAATTGCTGGAACTTTTTTTTTGAAAATTGCCAAAAATAGCGCTAAACCATTCAAAAATGAAAAATTGTAATAATTAAATTTTTTTGAAAATTAACTCACCAGTAGGACGAGTAGCCATTTCTTTCTATCAGAATAGCTCAAATTCAATAGATTTTGAAAATCCTCATCGTTTTTGAACTCAAAAAAACCGTGTGTTATGTCTACATTTGTGTGTTATGTCTACATTTCTTTGCGTCTCTCATTTCTTTTCTCTGACTATTTTTATGATTTTGTGTGTGATGCGCAGAAAACACAAAATCACAACACACGAGGTCATGGTTTTTTAGTATAAAAATGACGAAAATCTTTTTGAAAACTATTGAATCTGAGTCATTCTGATAAGTCGATATGTCTGCTCGTCCAACTGGTAAGTTGAATTTTTTTAGTTTCAATATATTTTGAAAATATTGTCATTTTTTGACAATTGTTGAACCATTTTGCAACAAATTTTAGCAGCTTTTTTGACATTATTTTCATATTCAAAAATACATCATTTTCCAATCTGAATAACTTCCAGGTGCCGATTACCGTGCCGAACTTCAAAAGCTGGTTTATCCGAAAAATGCATTGATGGCCTAATGAATGTCGGAGGGACCGCCTATGTGAATTTCGAGAAAAACTACGGACTATCTCCGAATTTCCAAGATGCCATTAAAGCTGTGTGTAAAATGTTCATGGAGAACAAGAAATTCATGAAAAGCCAATCGGAGGAGGATCAAAAGAAATATGCGATTCATATGGAGAATCAGAGGAAGAAAGAGGAATTTTATTTGATTGATTGAGCTATTTCTAAGGGGTTTTTTAACTTGAAAATAAATTGTTGACATTAATATTTAAAGAAAAACTTTGGGACTTTGGAATATTCAGAAATTTCGAAAATTCATTTTTTCAAGTATTTTTTTTTTTGAAAGAACAACAACAGAAATTAGAATTTTCAGCAGAAAAACGGTTATACAGGGTGCGGCAAAAGTTCTGCAACCGAAGTGTGACGCAAGCTGGCGCACGCTAATCTCGCTTTTCGTGCATTAATTTCATGTTCAGATTTTTCCTCGTTTCTTCATCACATGTTCCTACCTCAGTTTTTACGAAAATTGCACTACTTTCTGTACGCCTCCTTTGATGTTTTTCCTGAACTTCTGGCACAATCGCTGTCATTGAAGAGACACTGTTCAGCTTAGAGGCAAAACTCAATTCTAAAATTTTTTATGTGTAGTCCCAATGTCCTTGGCTATCTAACAGTAACAGTCAGTTGATTCTCTAGGCAGCCAATCCTCAGTTTTCTCGGTACACTGAAAACTACTTTGGTGAAAATCATACTGCCTAAATCATGATCTAACTTTGCATAGCGAATTCAGACTTCCTAAAAAGATATAGCGCCTGCTGTGACGGCAAAACATGTTCAGCAGGAGTCCCAAGCCAATTTTGCAAATTTGATCCCCGAAAATGAATGGTCTGTCTCGAGTCAGATCACAATTCGATGAGGATTTTCGTGCAAGGTAAGCACGTGTTCAAATTTGTTTTAAAACAATTTTCGATGCTCTCAAAAATATTCCTTCCGCGGGATAGACTATTCAGACAGCCCTCGTGCCAGCATAAACGCAACCCGAAGAAGTTGAACCCCGTCATTAAAAACAGAGCTGCCAGAAACAAACAACAATGATTCAATTTCGTCACAAATCTTTTTGAGAAAGTTCTGTTAAAATTTGACCCGGATTGGACTATTTTCCGAGAAGTTATGATGTATTCTTTTGGTTGCAGAACTTTTGCCGCGCCCTGTAGACGGATTAAAAATGGAACAGCTGAATATGAAAAAAATATATTCCAGCTGGTATGAAAAGCAGATTTTACCAGTTTCTGTCTGACTGAAAATCGAATTTTTCCTGTCATTTCCTTTTCAGAAATGGAATAATCAAATTCAGCGTTCACAAAATTACATCAATGTGAAAGTTAGTCATAATAAAAAAGTGTCAGCAGGTGAAAATTGGCATCACTTTCCAATAAAATCAAGCTTAATCTCATATTTTTTAATTACTCCTTTCAGAAAATGTCATGTAACTTTCGAGGCAGTTTTCTAGAATCTGATGAGTTCTATGCGACTTCTTTACATTTTCTTTCCATTTTACAAGCTCCTATCCACATTTTTGGTATTTATATCATTTTGAAAAAGACTCCAAAATCCATGGAAAAAGTGAAATTCCCAATTCTTCTGCTGCATTTGATGTTAGTTTTCTTGATAGTTTTAGAACTTCGAATATTGGTTCTAAAAGTTTCCAGATGTGTCTGGTGTGATTTTTTTGTTTCGATTTTGGCGACACCAGTTTTTTGTTTCCTGCTATTGCTGGATATGTGTTAGGGATACTGGATTATATCACGCCCGCATGGCTTGCTTGTTACATGGGCTTTGTTTCACTTGGATGTGAGTTTCACACACACTATTTTTAAAGTTCCTGATTCTCTTGGAATCACCACATTCGGATTCCTCCTAATAATGAATATTTTCAGTCATTGGTCCGTCACTAATATTAGTATTTGAAAACCGTTATAACTTTTTGGTCCGCAAAGATTCCGAGTCTTCAAATCGTAGATTGAAACGAGTTCTTCATATCTTCTTCAATTTTCTATTCATCATTCTAATAATGGTTCCTCCATTCAAAAATCCTATTGATATTCCTAAATTTAGGGAAATCATCCATCAAGAACTTCCCTGTCTCCCCGAAAGAACAATTCAGCATCCTCGACTTTATTACCTGAATACCTATCCTCTAACTTTTTTTATTTGTCTATTCCTGGAAATCCTCATCCCTGTCACTCAAATTTTAATATTCTTCTTTGCCACCATGTCTTATCTCTCCAAAACACAAAACTATCGTTCCTCAAGAACCACTCAACTCCAAAATCAATTCTTCAAAGCAATGTGTATTCAAATATGTCTTCCTTTCACTGTCATCGTAGTTTCCGCAGTTTATTTCCTTTTTCTTTTTGCAACAGGTCATTTTGATTTGTTATTGACTTTTATCTGTATGATTTTCATGACTTCTCATGGTGCATTTTCTACTGTAGTTATGCTCATTGTACATGAGCCATATCGAATTGTCACGTTGCAAATTTTGAGAATTCGAAGGATTAATATACCTATTTCTGCGAAAACTAACCACATAAATTGTTGAAGTACATACATTTTCATAATAATTTATTTTTTTGTTTCGATTTTTACAATATTACTTTTATTAACTAATCTTTAAAGGTGGGGGGACGCAAAAAATTCTGACTTGCAACCTTCCAATAATTCAAAAATGAAGCTTTCCTACTTGCTTTTTAAATATTAAGAACTCTTATTTAGCTGCTAGAATAACTGAATCAACATGAAAGTTAGTCACAATAAAAACTTGAAAACAGGTGACATTTGGCATCTATTTTCCAAAAAATCGATGTAGATGTAATACTTCTACGTTATTCTTACCACAAATGTCTTGTAACTATCGAGGCAGTTTTCTAGAATCGGATGAGTTCTATGCAACTTCTTTACATATTTTATCAATTTTACAAGCTCCAATTCACATTTTTGGTATTTATATCATTTTGAAAAATACTCCAAAATCTATGGAAAAAGTGAAATTCTCGATTCTTCTGTTGCATTTGATGTTAGTTTTCTCGATGATTTTTGAAATAGATAATTCTGTTTGAAAAGTTTCCAGATGTGCTTGGTGTGATTTTTTCGTTTCAATCATATCCACTCCCGTTTTTCTATTTCCTGCCAGTGCTGGATACGTATTGGGCATACTGTACTATGTTATGGCCACATGGCTTCTCTGTTACATGGGATTTGTTTCGATAGGTTGTGAGTTTTTGAAAATTGGTTTAAATATGTCTTCAAAATGAGCGTTTTCAGTCGTCGGCCCCGTCACTAATGTTGGTATTCGAGAACCGTTATAACTTTTTGGTCCGCAAAGATTCCGAATCTTTAAATCGTAAATTGAAACGAGTTTTTTATATCTCCATCAATTTCCTATATATCATTCTGGTTCCGGTTTTTATATTTCGAAACCCTATTGATATTCCTAATTTTTGTGAAATCGTCCATCACGATTTCCCCTGTCTTCCTGAAAAAATAATTCAACATCCGCGGCTTTATTATTTGAATACTGATTCTTTAACTGTTTTTGTGTGTCTGTTCCTTGAAATTCTAATCCATTTCTCCCAAATTTTAATTTTCTTCTTGGCCACCACTTTTCACCTTTACAAAAACTCCAAATCTCGTTCCTCAAGAACCACTCAACTCCAGAATCAATTTTTCAAAGCAATGTGTATTCAAATATGTCTTCCTTTCACTGTCATCGTAGTTCCCGCAGTTTATTTCCTTTTTCTTTTTGCAACAGGTCATTTTGATTTAGTACTGAATTATTTCTGTATGATTTTCATGACTTCTCATGGTGCATTTTCTACTGTAGTTATGCTCATTGTACATGAGCCATATCGAATTGCCACGTTGCAAGTTTTAAGGATTAAAAAAATAAGATCACCAAAGCCTGTTAGGATTTGTTATGTGAGATGTTGAATTGTATATATTTTTCTATAAATATTTCTGTTCATTTTTTGTAACTTTTCGATTTCAATTCATCTGTCATTCGTCATCGACGGACGATTGACGGACCAGGTTTTTGCTCGGGAAGGAACATTTCACAGATCAAATATTTTCCATTTTTCCTCTTTTTTTGCAGAATGAGTTTTGATTTTCATGAACCAAGGTATTTTCAATTGTTTTCTTTCAAACCAAAGTCTGAAAGTTCACAAGTCATCTGCCAATATTGAGAGGCAGGTGATATTGCAAATTATTATGGTGGTGAACAAATTAGTTTGTTGGACTTATTATTCAGCTAGGTAAAAAAATCGGGGTTATTCAGCTAGGTAAAAAACCTGGTTTTTTACCTGGCAAAAAAGGTAAACAACCTAGTTGTTTACCTTTTTTGCTAGGTTGTTTACCTTTTTGCCGGTAAAAAAACCAGGTTT